TACTAGAAAAATGCCATGAATACAAGATACCAATCCACCAACTCTTTATAGACTATAAAATGGCTTATGCCAGTATCAGAAGGAAATAACTATATGACACTCTACAGGATTTTGGAATACCTAACAAGCTGACAAGACTTATACATATGACATTAAACAACTCAAAAAGCAAAGTCATAATACAAGGAGAACACTCACGGGAATTTAGGATTAAACGAGGATTAAGACAAGGAGACGCACTTTCCTGCATGCTTTTCAATTTGACACTGGAGAGAGTTATAAGAAATATACACATAAACACAAGGGGAACTATTACTAACTACTTCAGGAGAGAAAAACACGGGTCCACGACCAACAGGGACGATATACAGCCAACCTCTACAATACCTTGCTTATGCCGATGACATTGCCTTATTGGGTAAAGAAACCTCTGACATCGCTAGAGCCTTCATACAACTAAAAGAAGCATCTCGACCAGCAGGACTTGAGGTCAATGACAGTAAAACCAAGTAAATCACAAAGACAAGAGACAATCAAACAGGGGGACAAAATATCAAAATCAAAGACCACGAATTTGAAAACGTCCAAACTTTCAAATATCTAGGAAGTACTATCAATTTAAAAAATGATCTACTAGCAGAAATAAAGGGAAGAATAGCAGGAGGCAACAGGGCATTTTATAGCACCCACCATTTACTTAAGAGCAAAACGATTTCAAGGAAAACCAAGAAAATAATATACAAAACCATAATAAGACCAGCAATGTATGCAAGTGAGACCTGGACACTGACAAAGACATCTGAAAATTTACTTAACACTTGGGAAAGAAAAATTCTTAGGAAAATCTATGGTGCCATACAGGATGAAACAGGGTGGAGGACACGTACTAACCATGAGATATATCAATTGCATGAAGACCCACCAATAGTGAACGAAATAAAAAAAAACAGACTACGTTGGGCAGGTCACCTTGAAAGAATGTCAGACAACAGAGGGGCGAAAATTGTATACAGGCAAAAACCAAAAGGCAGGCGACCCAAAGGCAGACCCCGAAAGCGATTGATAGATGATGTGGAAGCAGATCTGAAGCAGCTTGGGGTTAGGGCGTGGAGACAAAAGGCCCAGGAGAGATCTGAATGGAAGGATGTGTTAAAGCAGGCCAGAGCCCTCCATGGGCTGTAGCGCCACTGGGATGGATGGATGGATGGCTCAAGCCTTCTCAAGACGGAATGCTATAATCACTCTGCTAGTAGGTTATATGAAAATAGAAGATTGTTTAGTTATATAGCCTATTGTTTGTTTCAAAATTAAAGCGGCGATCTATAAAGGGGAATGTTCCTGCTTATAAAACCACTTCAGTCAAGTACGATTTCTTTCCCTTTTTCAAGACAACAAACAAAATAATTAATTACCAATAGTTAATTAACTAATTGGTTGTTTTTAGCGGTCCCCGAAAGTGGAAAAAACGCTATTAGTTTTGTGTGGAATGTCTGTCCGTCCCGTTTAGATCTCGTAAACTAGAAAAGATACTGAAAATCCGACATCATAATATTTTAGACCATTCAAAGTTCTGGTGCAACGGCTACTTTTTTCTTTTCTGAAAGCGAAAAATCTAATTTTTTAAATCACTTACGCAAGCACAGTTTTTTTCATAAAAATACACCACTTTTACTACTATTTTACAAAAATTTCAGCTTGATCAGAGATTGAGTGTCGGAGAAATAACGTGTACAAACTTTTTCCAGGCAAACAGAGTGAATTGATGTAAGCTTTATAAAATTAAATAATTGAAAGCCTAGAGCACTTCGCAGTGGTCCACTCGGAGGGCCCGTTAACAAAAAGATATCTTGGGCTATATTCAAACCATGCGAGTGTCTAGGCCTTTAACTTCACTATTTAAAGTTTACACACTTTCAACGTTTCAGTATTTATAATTAGAATTAAATATGTCTAGTTAAATATAAATATTTTTTTCTCTTGACATCTGCTGTAGGCCTATACTCGTACGCATGTTGACAGTCAAGAAAGGTCTGGCTTAAAACTTCTTTATCGTTCATCCGACAGACTAAATCAGTTTGGGACACGGATATTTTTACCTGTGGCAGATTAGGGACGTCGTCTCTGCATCATTTGTTGGACGTGAACCGAGTGAGGGGTTTGACCTGTGTAAACAAACACGATAGTGCGGCCACAAGTATGCCTTCACACACACACACACACCAGGGCTACCCTGTGTCACACAAGTGTGTATAGATCTCAGGATGATCTTCATTTGACTATGTAGCCGGAATAAAAAAATAAGTAACGTCCGTTTTTTTTAAAAATTCTATGTTGTATTAGTAGTGGACTTTTTTTTTTTTTAAATCCTGTGGTAAGTCAAAATAATTAGGTTTAGAGACTAGGTTGCATTCCGCTACTCCGCTTTTATTTTTGTCTTCTAATGTCCACGTTTACCGGGAACACATCAAACAAAGTAGACCTCTGTGCTCCTCCTTAACTACACAGTGGACATGTATAAAATGGTATTAAATTGTTATTATCAATTAACTTTTACTCTCTCTCTCTCTGTATATACGTACGTAAATATTTGGTGTGCAGATCTTGCTCTCACGTGGTAACAATGTCTCAATAGTAATCTTGCAAACTTCATTTTCCTGAACCTTTTTTTTTTTTTTTTACCTATCCTTTGATCTGCTAGATCGTTGGGGCACTACACAACATGTTAACCTTCTTTCTCCATTCTTATCTCTACTTTGTCTTTGATATAATTTCCTTCGGATGTTCTTTCTGATAATATTGAAGCCTGCCTGGGTGGACCACAAAGGGGGCCGATTTTGAGTTTGTGTTTCCACACAAACTGTCTTTGTAACCTTGTTTTAATTAATTTTATTTGACCTACAATCTCTTTACTTGCAGAAATAATGCATTGTGGGCCCAAGTAGACGGAGTTTCTGGGGCTCAGAAATGTAGGAAAACGCTAGGCACTCGGGCTCCGGTAGCTTGTGGTGCTTACGCGGATCGATAGCTAATGCGGGCGACGAATGTATTTTTTTTTTGGGGGGGGGGGGGGGGGGGCTTGTTTTGTTTATTTAGGTGAAAGTCATTATTAACATATTGAGAAATACTAATATAATGTAAAAACAATTCAATAATGTCAAAAAGTCTTTAAAGCGAATTAAGGAATGCATGTTCAGTTTATATTAATCTAATTTTTAATATTTGCAATAACTGTTGATAAAATTAAATGTCATAACCAGGTGTTTAACAACCAATACATGTAGGTAATTAATTAATTATGGTACTTACTTATATTTAACACAATTTTAAGGAAATATTTGGGGGAATGTTTATTGGGATGACACCCTGAGTTATTCGCAACGCCGTGTGACACCGACTTTAGTGACGCCACTGCTCTAGATTGCTACATATAGATATAAGGTCTAGCAAACCTTTATTTACAGCACGCATTTATTTGAACTTCCTCCTTTCCCTACAGCAAAATAAGCTGACATGGATTTTTAATACCACACGTGACTTGTTATATTGATGGTTTAAGACTGTGCCTTTAGCAAATGAAACCGTTGGATGCATTACCGCTAGATCTTTGTCGGCTTAATGGGAAGTATTTATTTTTACCGAAACCACTGCTAATGTTAGTGCTCTACATGTCTACGAGAAACGGTTTAGGAGGTGACGATGAATCAGGCTTTGTTGTAGTCACTTGTAGCCCCTAAATGCAAAAAAGCGAGTGTGACACTGTCGTTATTTTGTAAGTCATATGTGGTGTATTGACTGACGGTGTGAGCTAGACGAGATAATTTGATGTTATCTTGTCAGTAGTCAGTCTTTTTTGAGTTTCGTATCTGTCAACAGGTTAGGGGCCAAATATTTACAAAGTTAGTCACCCTGTTAAACACGATATAGGCTACTTTGTTGGTCAATAGGCCTATAGACTTATCAGTGAAACTTTTTTTTTTAAAGCTATAGATCAAGATCTACTATATAAAGCCGCAGTACAAACATACCACTGCAAACATGTAAAAAAAAAAAATTGGGATGCTTATGCAACGTATGCTAGCTCAAAACCAATGTACTCGGGTTATTAAAAAAAATATACTACTATTGGGTGGCTGCACGTTAGACTGTCGTTTTGTTGTCTCGATGGTCCCTGCCCGAAGCCATCCTCCGTTGTCTTGCGTGAGGTTGGACCTCATTCACCAATCGTAAACAAACAACATTTAGTCAAGTGATTTTATTGATAAAACAATGAAAAAAACTGTCACGTGACAACCATCATGAATTAAACATGAGATCGTAAATTATATAGAAGAGATAAAGCACCACGTGGCTAAATGTTGTTTGTTTACGATTGGTGAATGAGGTCCATTATCTTCAATTCTGAAGGAACATCCGGAACATGTAAAACATTTTACAAACAAAAAATTTTAAAGACCAACTGAAGAGGGTTTTTTTCGAAATTGAGATAGCGATTGATTTAGATAGTAGATAGCATCAAAGTTAGTTCCTAAAATTTTGGAGATTTTAGAAAAGCGTATTTATATTAGAAAAAGTAATTTGAAAGTGTAAAAAATAACGAGATTTGAAAATCAGCTTTAATGTCCGAAAGCGGAAGTGACGTAAAATGAAAATGTAAATAAAAATAGACATGGCTGGATACGTTCATTGATAGCGATATATACACATACACACATATATATATACACATACACACATATATATATATACACACATATATATATATACACATATATATATATATATACACATACACACATATATATACACATACACACATATATATATATACACACATATACACATACACACATATATACACACATAAATATACACACACATAAATATACACACACATAAATATACACACACATATATATACACACATACACATATATATATATACACATATATATATACACACATAAATATATACACACACACATATATATATACACACATAAATATATACACATATATATATATATTGCAATTTAACAATTGCACCTAGAATTCACGCGGGGCCTATGAAAGTGCAGGGCCCACTGCGACCGCATAGGTGGCAGTGGCTTAAGACCGGCCCTGGTCTTAAATATATTAGATTACCTAGACCTAGAGTAGAGTAATTTATTATTATTAAGAACAATAAGAGTTAGATGTTAATGCTAGCTTCGATCAGATAATCAGTATTTAACATATAATATATTTATATAACCACTAGTTCTATATATATATGTATACATAATTAAGTATAAATGTTAATAAATAAATTTTAAAAAATCTATTTTACAGAAAACATATATGACATGTGTGGCATACAGACAAGTTGACTAGATGGATCTTTCATCATTTTGGAAATACAAGAAGAGTTAATATTCCCTGTTTCTATTGTGAAACAAATCACAGAAGCATTCTACAATTTTATATAATAAATACTAATAAATGTAAATACAAAATCACATTTTAATAGAGTTCTTCATTATACACACAACATTATTTTAGTTATGTTCCTTTTCACTTGGTAGGTTTAGACAAAGTTTCGAATCAGGATTTAATATTATTATGTCATAGCCCAAAACTCCAGCAGGATGTTAGTTAATGGCAGTGGTTAATGTTTGAACCTGAGACCACAGAGAAGACAGTTCGGAGCGCAAACCACACAATTTTCTGCGTTTTTAAACTTATTCAAATTTTGATCATTTCTATGTTATTGCAGATTTGAATGTCCATTGCAATGATGACTTGATCTGTAAAGGGTTACATTTTAGAAAAATAAGAGTTGGATCTCATTCTTCGAACGATGCTATTTATTAGAAATTGCAATGTGGAATACATATTAGAGGCCAAAAGAAAATCCACTGCCGAGGGAAGACGTAGACGTCGTAAAGAACATTTAAGTTGACCACCAGCTGAAAATGGTTATGTTTTCGCTGGACGCGGCAAAATATCTAGTTTGCAGCTAGGGCTGCGTAGCCATGGAAAATACTGCATTCCTCATTAATCATTTGACTCGACTGCCAGCCTTATTTATTAAACACTTTAAATTATGAATAGCTCTGCATTTTTTAATAACAATATAAAAATATATATGTATATTCAGTGATTAACTTGCAATAATTGGGTTACTAAAATTTAATAAAATGAGTTGCATAACTACATCAACAGTAGCCTATATACATTACTTAATATTATATTGATACTACAATTTATTTTCCACTTACCTGACTTCCCAGAGAAAAGAAAAAAACTACTCCTTTTCCAGTAGGATAATCTCTTTCATTTATAGTCTAAACACAATTTAAAACTTTTTTACAGTTACAGATTAACTTGCTAACTTAACTATCTAATGATTCTATTCCAATCAACAAATGAGTCAAGCGTGGGATAAATTAAAATTCTTCAAGTTTTACATATACATTTATAGAACTATTTAATTTAAGTATATAGGCCCGAATATGTTTAAGTAACAGTGTAACAAAATCCATATTTCGTATATTAATAATATTATAGAATTGGTAGATCTAGGTCTAATTTTTGCCTTATAGATTAGTTTTTAGAAATTTAGATCTATATCAGACTACTTTTAAGTCTAGGTTAAAGCTATTTGCTAGTGTTGTGACTAGATTCAAGCTAAATATAATCGTGTGCTACAATAACTACATTGTATGAGCTCAACATTGTAATTAATGTTTTTTTTCCCATATTGGGCATATTCAGGGACGACTATAGGTTAATAATCACTATTAAGTGTATAGATAGAGTATATAATTTTAAACTTTGTTTTTCTAGATCTAGGCCCAGCACCTCGATCGAATCGGTCTAGACAGATCTATATAGATAGGTCTAATCTCTAAATATCCAATACTACTATTACAAGATCTAGACTTCATCTAATTGAATTTAGGTCTAGGCCTACTTCATACATCATTAATGATCTGAGAAAAGATCTAGCTCTTGATCAAAAGCAGTAGATGTAGAATTAGAATAAGCCTGAAGCAGTAACATAAGCCATAAATTGCGTAACTTGACTAAAACGAAACATGTGAACTGAGGCGCGGGGTACTGAGTGGGCTGAACGCTGTTCGCTTGACTAGATCAAGAATAAGCCGACAAACATTAGATCTAACATGCAAAGCCATAAATTGCGTGATTGACCTAATTTCCTAAACTCTAACATCCACTTTTTATAAATTGGTGTGTTTTAGTCGCCTTTGTTTTCAGAAACTGGCATTCCTGTAAAAAGCAATAGGGAAATACGTTAAACCATAAACTGAAAAATTTGACCTAATTTCCCCTAAACTACGTCATCGACATTGGTTGTCTGGGAAATACTGATCTCGAATGGCTTCGAGATTGTGAAATTTTATAGTCCCTAAAACGCACATTAAATTGCTTATATCTAAATAATTACAAAGAATATATGTCTAATATTTCGTATGTATGTTTTTTTAAGCATTATGAAACTAAAAAAAAGTATTACACCGGTTTCCGCGACTGACCCCAAAACCTCTTCAGTTGATCTTTAAAATCATAATGGCAACTTCTTCGATTCCAAAAATTAAGGATGAGTGCAGTGTTTAACATGACTACTGTTAGATAGCTAGTTTAGTTAGTTGGGTTACGCACTTTAATGTACTGACAGTGAACGGATATTTTAGAATGACGACATAGACTTTGGGGTTAGAGGTTAAGATTGACGTATAGAGATCAGTTACCGCTAGATTCTCAAGGGGATAACATCGTTCTATAGTGACAGACAAGACTGTGGCCCATTCTGTAATAAACGTTTGTTTGAAGCTCACCTTGAGTCAACTTGGTCATTGAGTCTGTGTTCCTGTTTAGTACCTTATCTATATTTGTAACGTGTGTATGAGGAACTCGCAGATTGAAAATACCTCATACAAGGTACGCACGCAATTAGTCGTATTGTCTTCTAGAAATACTTCAGCTACATCTAACTACACATGCATCCGTTACAGTGGCGACCTTTGAGTTTCAAAAGTTTGTCCCGCAGCCTTTGTGAGAGCTCTCCAACTGTCTCTTTCAGTGGCCATCTGCTGCCAGCTACTTTCCTCTATGCCTACGAAATGGCGTCCGCGTCGATCTTTATAGCGCTTACGGGGGCACCTCTGTCCTCCTTTAAGTCCGCCAAAGAAGATCGTCTTTGGCATGCGATCGTCTCCCATGGGAGATAAGTGTCCAACCCAGTGCAGCTGTCAAATGGTAATTAGTGCTTCTATACCAGTGGTTCCTAAACTTTTTTTTGTCTCGTAGGCCCCTTTCCATGTTTTCTGGTTTTTGGTAGACCCCCTGCTTAAATTATACAGGTACTGCATTTTTGCAAATTCACCAAACTCCATTGTTTAAAGTAATTTCTAACTGTAGTGAGTCGAAGAGTAAATAAGAAATTTAAAGCTAATTTGTAATTTATTTATTGATAAAATTTAAATGTATACCAATTAAAATAACAATTGATATGCACTACTGGAACCACCAAAAGACACTGAATATGTTTTTTTTTTTTTGCAGGTTCATCATCCATTTTTACGGATATTATGTTTCATATAGGAATTTGTCGTTCTATGAAGTAGTTCTTACTTCAAACAATATATATTAATTAATTAATTTACCTTAAGTATCACTGTCTTTATATCTTCATATTTCGCGTCTGGTTCAAAACAGGAGAAGGGTAGAAGTTACTGGTGTCTAAACCAGTAAGCTTTTGGCAGGAGGGACTCATTAACCTAGGGTGGTAATCCACCTAGCAGGGGGAAAACTGAATTCAAACCTCTGCTGCCTTGCAGATATACCCAAACATGGGAACTGTTTCGTGGGTCAACCCCGACGAAAAATAAGGAGCCTATGACCCTTAGGCAGTATGCAGCACACAGCGCTACACCATGTCAAAGCCTGTGAGGCCGCTGATCCCAAACTGTATATGTTGTTTGCAAAGAATAACACAATAAGCTTTTATTATAACTCAGACCACCGATGTGCCTTCTGTATTGTTGGTTAAAGAAATGTGTTTAAAATAATATCAAATTTACGTTTGTGTAAAACAGGTTTTAAAACTACTTTAACAACTGGTAAAAATCAATGTTTATCTAGAGTGTTTTCCGTATTTGGCTATTATTAAAGAGATTTTTTAAGACGCTCACAAACCATCATCTTCTCTATATGATGTTGAAGAGAGATTTTGTGGGTCTATTCTGAACTTTAGCTTTGAAATTTATCTTTTTATCAGGGTGGCAACGTCTCAATTGATCCTCCAGCGTAATTAGTTTCATATCGTCATAAAAAGGGAACTTGGCAACCGCTTGTTTGACAAGGAAGAAATGAATCCAAATTAAAATCACTAACTCTGTATAATCTAAATTTCTTTTTCTTACATTTAGAAAAAAATGAAGCTATTTTTTATAATTATTGAAATTAAATATAACAATTTTTCGTTTGAATAACTGGATAAATATAGAAAGGATTAGATAGGGTACTAATCATATATTAGTGTATGAAATAATTACATTGGTGAAAGTTAAAGTCACGACCTGTTTAAATGAAATCAATTTTCGTAGACCCCATGGACATCTCATAGATCCCCAATTTATTTTTTCACTTTCGTAGACCCTTTGGAGCTCTTCGTAGACCCCTGGGGGTATATATAGACCACTTTGGAAATCACTGTTCTATACTGTCCACACCGACTTCCAGCAGAACATAAAAATGTGAAAATTTTAAGACTTTTGCCAAGTTATAGTCTATAAGCTACTTGTAGCCTTGTTTTTTGTTTTTCATACAGCTTGCAGTTGTACATGATCCTTGGCTATGACAGAGCTCTGATTTTATTAATGTAAGCCTATCTATACATGCCCTTCCCTATCCGGCCTCCCCCCCCCCCCACAAAGGAACCTACATGTAAAACTTCTGACAAGTCAGGCATGGCATCTTAATGCAATAAGACCATCTCCTATCGGATCCATATCCCTTAGTCTGAGGACGGAAATAATATTACAGGGGAGGTAATTTGGAAAAAGAAATATAGGCAAACGAAAAAACTAGTTATTGCAATAAAATGTATTTGAAATGTTTCATTTAGACTAACCTGTATTTGAAATGTTTCATTTAGACTACCTTGTATTTGTAATGTTTCATTTAGACTACCTTGTATTTGAAATGTTTCATTTAGACTACCTTGTATTTGTAATGTTTCATTTAGACTAACCTGTATTTGAA